ATGCAGTTTACTGTTGTTCAAGCCACACCCACTCGTTATCTTGTTTGATCAACTCTTGCAGGGGTGCAGTTATATCTGTTAGATTTGGTACAAATTTTTCAAGATAATTAATCATTCTTAAAAATCGTTCCAACTCTTTGCGATTTGAGGGACATGGCATAGACTGTATCACCTCAATTTTAGAGTTATCAGGTCTAATTCCCCTATCCGTAATAATGTGTCCTACAAATTTTACTTCATTGACCCTCAAACAGCATTTTGATGGTTTCAATTTTATCCCTTTTTCTCTGGCTGTATCGAGTACTTTCTTCAATCTTTTATCATGTTCTTCTATATTTCTGCCAGATATCAGAATTTCGTCCATGTAAGTTTCAACACCTGGAATACTTTCAAAAACCTGGTGGAACCTTTTAGCAAATATTTCTGCAGAATAATTGAGTCAGAATGGTAGTCTCATAAACTTGTACCTACCAAAAGGTGTATTGAAAGTTGTTAGATCTGTACAATTTTTTTCAAATCTAATTTGCCAAAAAGCTGAGTTGGCATCCAACACAGTGAATATTTTGCTTCTACTAGATATTTCTTCAATGGTGGGTAACTGGTAATGTTCCTGTTAAATGGCAGGATCAAAACAGATCCTTAAACCACCGCCTTTTTTTTCAACAATAACCAGAGAGTTGACCCATGCCGTGGGATGATCCACTTTCTCAATGACACCTTCATTTTCCATGCGCTCAAGTTCTTTCTTGAGGTCATCTCGCAATGCAGCTGGAACTTTTCTAGTAGCATGTACCACTGGCCTAATAAGTGGGTAAATTTTGATTTTGTACTCCTCTTCCATGGAACCAAGACCACTGAAAACATCTGCATAAGAAGACAATGTTTCATCTCCAATAAATCCACTCTTTTGATAAGATTGAGTTGCTGGCAACCTGACAGTCCCATGATTGGCTTGGACTGGGTTTTTACAATTTGAAATTCCAACATCTCAGTTTTTTCCTTTACTGTGCATTTGATTAATGCCTTGCCCACAACAGACAGAAGTCCTTTCGAAGTTGACTAAACAGTCTATATGGGAGAATGTTCACCTGCGCTCCAGTGTGAAGGTTATTTGCCTGCCCTCAAGAGTCGCTACAGATTTCCACTCATTACTAAGTATGTTTTTTAGGGAAACATTACCAATGAAAAACGTTTCTTCACTGGCTTTAACGTTATCTTCTGATTGTGAAGTGACAACTCTAACAGACCTGCATACAGAGGAAAAATGATTCTGTTTGCCACAGTTGTGACATAATTGACCATATGCTGGACATTTTCTTGGTGGATGTTGCTTGCCACAATAGTTGCAATTTGTATTTGCACGTGGTCTTCTTGATCTCCCTGAATCTGATGTCACTGCCTGTACACCACCTTCTTCATTCATTATCTTGAGCTGCCACTCCATTGTCTCCGCTGCCCTGCATATGTTTTCTGCCTTAGTACCTCTCAAACTTTTTCAAAATACAGTCAACCGTGTGAAAAGAAGTAGCTATGTCACAATGTTCACATTCTTGGCTAGTCCACTGGAAAGTATTGAATATTTCCACTGCCTCCTGTCCTATCACTACTCTAGGCCTATAGGCCATATATATATATGGCCTATAGGCCTAGATTAGTATATAGTATTACAAGTATAGGCCTAGCCCCCACTCCAAATTATTATTTGTAGGATCTATTTTATGCAATGATATTTTAATGAATATTATTATTATGATTCTTAAACTTAAGGCATAAAAACTAAATTAAACTTTAAAAAAATACTCACTCACCTTTGAAATTGAAATATCCTATATTTAATCACATATCACAATATTTCACAAGATAATTATTATATGATCCTCAGTATTCCCAAAGTAAAAACACACTTTCTTTTACAATAATCCAAGAATTACTGAAGTTATTAATAAAGAACAATAATTAAAATCACTTCTACATACGTCATAGCAAATGACTAGAACTTATTTTAATTTATTTCAACCGCCAAAGCTGATACTAATGATACATGTTGATTTAAAAAACAAGATCACTAACTTAAAATAAATGCCATACAATTTTTTTGGGTCATATTTATATAGGACTATATATATAATATATACATTTTTAGAAAATGGTAAAATAAAGGGTATAAGCATGAATTTTAACTAAATGAATCAATTGATATATGTATTATTTATTTATAATTATAAATGTTAAACGGTTCCACAGAAAAGTTAAAACTATTATCTAATGAACATTGTTGTTATTATTGGGAAATTTAAAAAAATATATTTTAAAAAAAATTAATTAAAAAATAATTAAATACAAATAGGTTACGAGTCAGGACATATAATAATAACTAGTAGTAAATAGTAAAACTCAAATCTTAACCATTTCTCATTTAATACTATTTTTTATCTCATTTCATAATAAAGTTATAAGCTTTTAAACAAAAAAGCAAAATGAGTCTCATGAAATGTGGAGGAAAATTGCATAGTAAAAAAAGTGTTATTCCATGCTGATAAATGGTTTATTACCGCTAGATCAACGTTACTCCCAGCTGACTATGAATAATCACTCCTTTTAAATAATTATTATAAACATAAGATCTTATTTTTTCCTAAATTCAATAAACTGGAGTGGAGTAACCATGTTAAAGACACAAAGCACAAATTTAGTGTGGTATTTTGAAAATTAATATTTTAAAAAGCAAGCAATTATTTGTATTTATAAAATATGAAGGAAAGGAAAAAAAGAAAGAAGTTATCAGTGATTTCCACACTGATAAAATTAAGGAGTAATGCTAACACGAAAATTGAAACACTGCATAAATTTATCCTTATCTTTGGTTCATTGAGTTCGAGCAAAATTTTGATATTGTTTGCAGTCATTTGAACCCTTAATTTTAACTTAGACTGAATAAGTAGGCTATGACAAAAGGATCTAAATTATAGACTTAAGTTTAAGCCTTTTATATTCATTTGAAAGATCTGTCAATAATTATAATTCACATGTGGAACATATTAAATAATTTGGAATTTTTAAGTGTTGTGTTAGTATTAGTAATTTTATTTGAGGACACTGTCAAACTCTGATATATATTTGATTGGTTTAATTCACCAGATTCCTCACACGTTCATAAGCCAATATACACTGAATTTAACATAAGTAAAGTGCTGGAAAAGCGTTGATTAACCAATAAATCTCTTAAAAACACACAGCTCACAATAAAACACAATATACATGGGCAACAATTATAAGTGAACTTCCATACTCGACAGACACCTTTGGAAATTAATTTATTATAGTTATTAGTAATTTAAGTACAGTAATTATTTGGTAGAAGAAGTCTAGTTGCTTAATATTTTGCGAAATATCAAATTTTAATAGTTACTTAATTTTTTCAATATCAAAGCTGATTTGTTGGTTTTCTTTAATTACATAAAAAAAATAATATTAGCTTAATAAAGTTCACTTACATTACTATTTTATAATAAATATTATAATACTTTGAAAGGCCTATCTAAGTCAAAGATAAGTGGTTATCCATCCCGTGTCCATGAAAAAAGAACACAACAAAACAATGAACGTGTTGGTAAGAAGCCTTCTTTAGTGAACAAACACAGCAAAAACAATATAAAATTTAAAAAAACACTTAGCTGCAATGTTGTATCCGAGAGAACAGCTATAGGAAGGTGACCTGCATTTCAGTTGAGTTTTTTAAAATTTTTATATACGTGCTACTCATTTTTTGCTCGCCGAAGAAGGCGTCTTGCTGACACATTATTATTATTTTTTTTTTAAAGATTCATGTTGTCCCATACCTGGTTTAACAAATTTCCTTCAAGCTCCAACAAAGGTATGTCCAGATACAAGAACAAAGATGTGTCAAGATACAAAAGCAAAGATATGTCAAGATACAACCACAAAGATATGTCCAGATTCAAGACCAAAAACAAAGGGAAATAAGGAAAATTCTTTTTCCCAAGTTGTAGATGAAGTTAAAAAAAATAATGTGGTTCAACATACTAATGATTCTAAAACTAATAAGGAAATAGTCGAACCTACACAAGCATCACAAAGCGACTTAAATGGAGTCAAAGAACTTGATGAGAATGAAGCACTAAGGTAAGTTTCTTTTCACTTAAAATATCTTACACCAGATCCATTATTTTAGTTTTTAAGTAAACATGCTTAAATTTTATTTTTAGAAAGTATCAGTGTTTCAAAAGCAAGACAAAGTTTTTTTAAACAAATTGTGAGCCAGTATAGGAGCTGCTCATTCCTGCCCAAGACAATCAGGGACTGGAACAATCTTTCAAAAGGAACGGTTGAGGCGACAACACTAGACACATTTGTGTCTATTGCCTCAAGCCTTCAAACCCCTAGTGCATGATTTCCTCATCAACACCAGGCACAGAAACATTGCAAATCCCATCTACATGCATAGAGCCAAAATGATCAATAAATTGATCGTGGGCCCTTAAGATATAGAAGAAGAAGAAGAATGCAACTGTTTGTGTTATGCCCAGTGTTTTTTTTTTTTTAATATTGAATTTGTTGAACTTGAATGGCAGTCCAATGTCTCTTGTTACTTACTTTAGTAGTAGGTAGTCTTTTATTCTACATTTGACATAAAACTTGATTTTCTGTATTCAAAATAAAAATTCTCCAGCTTCTGTTTATCATAATGATCTGAAAATGGGTAGACAACTTAGTCTTGCAGTACAAGTTAATCTTTAAAGTATGAAATCCTCACTCACATCTTTTTTTTTTTTTTTTCAAAAATATGATTGTAAATATTTAGTTCAATTAAGAGTGAATTGTAAAAAATAATCTTAATATGTTATTTTTGTGTAATTTTATGTTCTACAATGCCTTGATTTCTCCATTTATTTTTTACAGTTTTTAACGTAATACTGTTCAGAATTTCCAAATACAGCAGAAGGTGATTATTTATTTGTTACAGTTTTGAACGTAATACTGTTCAGAATTTCCAAATACAGCAGAAGGTGATTGAAGAAGCAAACAAACACAAGCGAGCTCTTTTGTCAAAAGCAATAGAAGATAGGTGAGATTTTAATGCAAGCAATATGTGTGATAGAGTCTAATCATACATAAAAGATTATGACATTCAATTCATCAACTTTTCTCACTTTTATTTAGTCACTTTTAGGACCTTTTGCCAGTGGTCTAGTCTTGCTGGAACGAATTTCTGTACTTTTTTTTTGTTGCCAAGTAATGAATGCATATTTATTTTTGGAGGAGGTATCTTGAGTGCGTTCCCTCAATTTTTTTTCCCCAGGACTCAACCCCTGCCCCTTTCCATGCAGAAACTATAAGCTTTTAGGGTCTAGTTGAAGTGTATCTTTAAGTTGAGCATTGCATAAAGTTTTTAGATCAATTTAAAGATGACACTTATTTTCCAGGAGAAAACAAGCTAAAGCTGAGGCAGAGAAGTTGATGAAAGTTCAATAGGGTCTAGTTGAAGTGTATCTTTAAGTTGAGCATTGCATAAAGTTTTTAGATCAATTTAAAGATGACACTTATTTTCCAGGAGAAAACAAGCTAAAGCTGAGGCAGAGAAGTTGATGAAAGTTCAATAAGAGCTGAACTATCTTGACAGTCTGCTTACTGCCGATGTCAGCATAATCAGAGATAAGATTGAAAAAGTTAGCTTAGAGTACAATGATGCTCAGTGAGTTTTGTCATCCTCGTATGCATGGTGCACTGAAGATTGTCAATGCACATTTACTCATCAATTTAAATCAAGTTGCTAGAGCTTACATATTAACATATTATTTGTAAAATATTTTCGTCCATTTATTTTAAATTTCTCAGCTTTTTAAAGTATATTTTCATTGTTCTATTAATATTTCAAATTCATCGTCTTGATTTATTTCGTTGTTTTAATCTTGTGTCAATGTTTAATATTTTACTTTTGCACAATTTTTTGGTTTGCCACCTGACAAGCTGAAATAAAAAGTGGTTTTCAATTCTCTTTCTAGGAAATAAATATCACCTACCTACATCTACTTATCTGATCTTATCCATTTTCAGACAATGCCACTTATGTTTGTATCATGCCCAATTGTTTTTATTGATTTTGAATTGTTGAACTTAATGGCAGTCCAATGTCTCTAGTCTTTTAACAAAATAAATCCTTTTGTTGTACTTGACAGAAAACGCTATGAGAGAGCAGAAAAATAATTTGTTGCTGCCAAATTCGACTTGTTTTCTAAAGGGGAAGTGAAAGAGCAACTGACACAGCATCTATACACCATCATACACCAGAATGAGGTGAGAAAAGCCAAGAAACTGGTCGAACTGATGGAGAAGCTAGCAATGGATGTCACGTCTGAAGAAATGGAATTAACCATAACAGCCATCCCACAGCTGACAAACTTTACAGCAGTGGCAACACTTCATGACCCGCATCCTGCCAAGGGTGATAACAAAGGGGGTAATGAAGGTAATGGTGGAGCTCAGAAATTAAGCAGAGCAGACGGATTGGACGGTGCAAATGTCTCTAAGCAGGAAGTTAACAGTACGCTACCCAATGCTGTCTCAAAAGAAGCTGAAAGTGTAAGTGATTTACCTCCTGCAGCTCCAGTATCTGATAAGGTTAATGTTGACACTCGGGCGAATCAGGATGGCTGTGATCAGGTGCCAACACCAACTATAGAGCATTCAGGTGCAAAAACTTCTAGTTTAATTTCAAATGATGGTGCACCTGATGTCAATAAAAATATTTCACCCATCACATCAGAAGAAAATATAGTTGAGCTTTCAAAACAACAAGAAATTGTGCTGGCACTTGGCCAGGAAAATGATGTTATATGTAGAGTTATAACTAGCCAGAATTCATTAGCATCTTCACCTTTAAGTTCAGGACGTGGATGGAAACATCCTTTCACATAATATGGCTTCCAACATGTCTGATAAATGTGTTTTTATGGCTAATGCCAAACAGTTTTATGTTTTGTAATATATTGTATTTATTTCCATTTTGTATTTCTGTTAAGCGCTATGAAACAAAAAATAATTGGTCTGAACAGGCTGGTCATTAATAGAAATCATTATTTACTAAACTTGCCACACTAATGCTTTAAGGACCAATGTTTGCAGTACTGGTTGAAAACATTATCATTTTTATATAAGGTCACTCCAAACCCTTCACCATGATTGTAGCAATTAGAAGCACACACAAATGGAGTAATCTCACCTAAGTATGGAGCTATTGTGATGTTTTGTAAACAGTTGGTTAAGTTCCCCTGTATAGTTCATTGTATACTTTGTAATTAAAGGACATGTTTTTGGGGTTGTTTGATATAATTGTGCAATAAATACCTTCATACAGGCTGCAGAATCTTAAACTTATTTTATATATGCCAGAAATAACCTGCCAAAAAATTATTAAAAAATCTACTGACTTTACTTGATAAAAAACATGTCAGTTAAATAATGCACTTTATAAGAATGTCAATTAATGCTAAATTCTGGTAATTATTATTTTACATTTATTTCTAACTTATAACAACAATACTTACATTTTAAAGAATTTATATATTTACATATAGACCTATGCATATTTATTTTGCCAGATTTAAATTGATTTGATTTACGTTTTAAAAAAATCTCACCATCAGTATTTTTAAGAATCCCATTTAGAAATAGTAGTTGTATCTTGCGCAGCTGTTGATAAAAAATGTACACACTGTTTAGTGCACTTTTGGGGAAATGTATTTTTTGTGTACTCTTGAACAGACATATAGACATCCCTGAGAATTATTTGTGATTTACTTGGTCTTTAAAAATCTGCTCTTTTTTTTTTTTAATTTTTATATGAAAATTATTATAAAATTTAATATTTTAAAGTATTTTTATTTTATACAGTAATATTAATAATTTTTCAATACAACCTCTTGTTACTTAATGAATGTTTAAAATGTTTCAATTCCGATATTTTGCCATTATATGCCTTATATTTAAATAGAGGGTTTGTGGAGATGTTTTTAGTACTTTAGAGGTGAATCATTTAATATGTAAATAGGTTCTTTTCATGAGCAGTTTTGGCTTTGATAATTTATTTAGAAAACTTTGACTTTTCGTTGGATGAGAAATTAGCATGATTTTCTTATTAGATTTTAAAAAATCCACAAGTCCTGTGATTATTCTTTTTAGGATTATAACCTGGTTCACTATACAGCAAATAGCCTCCCTCCAGGCCGTTGGATAACCCAAGGGAACATCATATGTGGATGAGAATTTGGCACTAGTGGCGTTGCAGGAGATGTCAGAATGATTCATTGTGTCAATTATGTCTGCCTGTAAGACTCCATCTCCGGGTTTGAATTCAGAGTTTCCTTCTCTTAAATGAGTTGCCATCCAAGGTTAGCGAGTCCATCAACCCCGGGACTGAGCTCCAAATCAAAAACTTGAGATTGACTCAGTTGAGACCACTCGGCCACCCAGCGCCAAAATTAACAGCCCTAATAAATAATATTAAAGCATCCAGTCTAGTGAAATTTTAATATCTTCATTAATGATTGATTTTTCAAACACACAGTTACTCTTAATAAAGCTTTGGAATGTAAATGTTTAGTTACTACTCACATCCGGTCTGTTTTGGTCTCCTTGCTGACAAAGTTGTGCAATTGTTTGAATAGGATTATTTAATTATTGTTGTTTATTCACTGTATAATGTCCCATACAAAGTTTTTTTATTGCTCACTATAAATGGACATGTACTGCTATACATCTATGCAAAGGTATGCCAAATTTTTATTATTACTTATAACATCCAGAGAGCTATGCATATTGAACTTACTTTCACCTCTATAACCTGGAGTGGTATCACACCATGATAGTGTGTCTGTGCAGTGTTTAATTTTCACTGCATTTTGGGGATTTTTTTGTTTCTGGTTCAGGTAAAAAATATGACAGGCACTTAAAAGCATTAGTGCCGTAACAAAGAAACTTTTTTTTTTATTTGAAGAATTAAATCTGGGGTTTGTTTTCTTAAAATTTTACTAACAAGTCAATCAGATCTTCCAAAAGAGTTTAGAGTTTATAATATATTTACCTTCACCTATAGACAAAATCATATTTCCCCCAATTTCATATGCTTTATGGCAAGTTGTGGGGTTAAATTACTTTTGTTATATTTCTTACGATGCAGTTTGGTGATTTTACAAATTCTGATAGCTTAAATACCTTCATCAACACAACCAATTATAAGTCTTTTTATGAAAAGATGTCACCTAAAAAGTTCACAGAAACAGCGTATAAAATGAAATATAACCATCACTTTGTCTTCTGAGATAGTTGTTTTTAAAAATATTTGTCTTTTAGATTGTGACTGAATTTTTACTTAGGTGGGGTTTTTTCCTTTGCTAAGTACTATATTTGTAAACTAAATAAAATATTTACTAATGACATTTTTAAAAAACACAGTATTTATAGCATATGTATTGTATGTTGAACAATATTCTTTCATGTGATAAATGTTGTTATTCAGATATCATTGAGAGGGTATATTATAAACAAATGCTTTTTCTTAATTTAGGTTTAATGATACTGTTCATTATATTTAAGTGGCCATGACAATAAGTAACCAAAAAAAAATGCCTCAAATTGAGATTGTTTAAACATTTCTTAAGAGTTGTAAATATTTGTTTCACAATATTCCTGAAATTATTATTTTTTTTTTCTAATTTGCTGAGTAAAAGATCTGATTTTTAAAAAGATTGATACATGCTCCTAAATAAAAAGGGTTTATTATAATTACTGAATCTATTATTTCAGCCAACTATATTTTTTTTCAGGCATACAAACTCCTACTTCTGCTGAATACTGTAACCATACTAATGTCATATGGTCATGAAATTTAACTTAAATTTTAAGGGCAATAAAAAGGGTAGAAAACTAATGAGATCTACATGTTATTTTTTATATTGTGGTTTGTGTGTTTACAATTTTGTTAACCAATCAGTGACTTGATGCTGTTTTTACCTTAAACATCAAGTGATGAACATAGTGAGAGCAAGAACACCAACATTCCCCTTTTATTATTTATTATAGCCTTTAAAAGTTTAATCTGCAATATGCCATGTATAAATTAATTGGGAGTCGATGACTTGCATGTATTACAAGTAGGCCTTAAAAGTCTCTAAGATTGCAGGACTACCTAGTTTGCACACCATGCCATTTTATATTGGTGTATAATAACTGATTAGTTACTAAAAATAATTTCCAACAATAAACTTAAATAAATATAAAATGATACATGTTAACATATGCTTACTCTACACTTTACGCAATTTTAAATTAGTAGTTATTTGGTAGCAACCGATAATATTTTTATTCTTTTTGTTGTTGTTGTTTTCATTTGAGAATGAGTCATTTGTAAGTTGATAAAAAGCAATCATTACTGACAAAAGTAGTAAAAAAAAATGACTTTCTGCCATTAAATTTAATTATAGAAAAGCCGTGGTTGTGAAAATAAGCTTTTCCGTAGCAGTTAGACTGATTTGGTAATTAGACGAACCATTTATCAAGGATGTAAACAAAGGCCAAGAAAGCAGACAGGAACACAAGTCAATTCAGTCAGTGACAATTTTATCTGAAGCTGATCCAGCTCGTGAAAGACTTCATACATTTACTATATGAATATTCCTTTCATGTTATTATATGAGTTAATCTAACTACATTGGCCTTCAAATAGAGTCAGTTAGACTCAGGTCAATAAGATTTATTATATTATTATAAATAATAAATACTTTAAACTTTAAATAGTATTAAATAGGAAATATTTTAAATTAAATTAATAAATATAAAACACAAAAAGTCAATTTAAGTCTAACGCTAACTAAATGACAGTTAGTCTAAGTCATAAGTTTAAGTTCTTTCGGTAACCTGTTCTTTCTTTTAACTTAATTTTAACACAAACAACAGCATCACAATCACATTTCATTAAATTTTAAAAAGTTTTTGATGTTTGAGTCCATTCCATTGACTTTGACTTGAATGATGGTGATGTTAGGCAGCTATACTGTGACATATGTATGATGTAGACCGTATTTTGTATAATGTAGGTACTTTGATAAAAAAATTTGTAAAATAATAAACCAATGGCATAGCTGAATAGAGCTAATTTTTTACAGAATTATAACACCAAAGCCAAAATCAAATTTTTAGATGAATTTTTAAAGCACGACTTCATTTGTTCTTTTTTGACATGGACCGCATCTCCATTCTGCGACCCACTTCCACTGTTCGTGTCACGAGCTATGTAACTCTCATCGTTTAATTTTTAAAACTAATGCCAATGCTGTATTAAAAAATAATGTAATACAAATTGTAGATAAATTGTAGCTTATCTAACTATGCACTATGTATAATATCAGTAAATTTCATATAATGTATTAATATATGGCTTTTCTGTTACCAAATCTACGGCGTCTATTATACCGGTATATGCCATATAGTCTATATAAGGCAGCGCATCCCCTTCTAAAATACTGTTTGTGGACTACTTATTTTGAACTTTCAACTTTGGCACGACATGACTAATTAAAGTTTTTCCTAACCAATGGTTTAATAATTTTTGCACATGGCAAACTTTTATGAATGAAACTCTGAGATAGAACTACGGTATAGCCATTAGGCAAGTGACTGTGAATGGCTGCCCATGGCCATGTCATTTTGCACACCGCAAATTTTGATAGTTTATAATATGGACTCTACCTGGTTTTTGAACCTCAAATTAAAATATTATTGTTTAAATTACATCTAAGTTCATTCTAAAACACAATTTATAAAATATTATGATGTAAATAGTGGTAATAATTAAAATTTATTATCAGCATCTTCCGCCCCCATCAAAAAGGGGGCAGGGTGACCTTATAGTAATGCAGTAGGCATACCGATACTCCCTTGCGCATTCATTCTGCGCATGAGGAAAAAAAACGCAAAAATTGAAGTGGCCATCTTACTATCGCTTCTACGGTGACCTCGGATTTATGCGTTTGACGTCACAGTTTCCTATTTGTACATTTGTTTTGTCATCGATGACGTTTTATATTTGTCTTCCGGTGACGCACATGTCGTTAGAGCAACTGGATTGAGCTCTGTTCTTTTCTTGTGTAACTTTGAACATACGGTAAGCTATAAAATGTATTAAATACTCCGTTTTAGCAATAATGTCACATTAAAACCTTTAAAAAGCAGTTAAGCATTCAAATGGGGTGGGGAATAACTTTGAAATAGCCAATTTATGCTTTTCCAGTAGAATGAAGTTTCCTTCCAATTGTCATGACCCCACCAGCACCGGAAAAAAAAAAAATGGTGGATTTTTTTTTTTGCACCGGTATGATGAAAGGGACTCTAAATTACTTTCAATAAGATAGTTTTATTACATCAGTAATCTTTGAACATCGAAATAAATCTAATAAAATTAGTAAAATGTATTATAAAATATTACAGAAACTGATTTGATGATT